TTTTTTTTGTCAGTACTTAGTACTGTGTAGAATGTGCTATACATAATGTATATAATGTACCCTCTGTCAGTAGGGTCACTGTGAGGTGAAATAGATTGTGTTGTTGTAGCTGATGGCCTACAGTGGTGGTTTCTGTTTGCTGGTTAACAAACTGCTGGTTGATTTGTATAAATGACCTGGCGCGATCCTGTTGAGATTTAGTGTGATTTAGTATTTGGCAGTTCATCTCATTCCTTGCTCGATTTGAATGGAACAGATTATGTTCAAGCAAAGTGAGGGCATATGGTGGTAGTAAGGATACATTGAAAGATCATTTGAAAAGTGAGCCAAAAATTAGAATTAAAGTATTTGAAGGACTTAAGGAATTATTTTATAAGGCTGGGCGGTGACGATGGGGTCTTGGGTGTCTGGATCTCCAGATAACCTCTTGAAACCCAGCACAACATTTCAGATTTGCTTTGAGGTATGCTGCAAGCAGTGTTAAAAAAAACTGGCAGCTGAGGTAGATTTCACCAAGATTTCACTGTGACACTGGAGCGCTGCAATCCTGACCTGTGAAACAACAGGGAGCCCAACTCTCCCGTTAATAAATACCCTTTCTAAGGGTCGCGATGCTTCATGAGATGCAAGTGAGACTGTTTGACAAAAGGCAGCTCGCGGGAGCAGTGCGATAGGTAACCAGATAACTCCTTGCCAGTTACGTTGCGCTTTACATACAAGAGAGGACCCACCTCAGTTTCCAGTGGGGAAGGTGGCTATGCCATCCGAGTGACACATGCCAGTGGCCCCCACTTCTCCCAGGTGGAAAAGTGAGAATCTGTCTCACCAGTTGAATTAAGGGGGAGCTTTAGGGATGCCAGACTGTGTAAAGTCTAGACTGGAAATTAGCCAGGACACCGGCTAATTAACACCCCTGCTCTTGTGAACAGCGCCATGAGATCTTGAGCGACAGAATAGCCAGGACCTGGTTTTAATGCCTCATCTGAGGGACGGTACCCCTCTGCAGCACAGTGTTCCCTGTTACCATTGTGAGCAACTGGTTTGGCAATTCTGGGACGGAGTGAATGGCGCCACCTACTGGTGTAGTGCGGCACCTCCGCTTTCTGATGCGAAGGTTGGTTATCTCAGCATAACTAGTTTCGTCCTGTGCCTTTGGAATGCGGGATCTGAGCTCTGTTCCTTGAGGAGAGACTGTTGTTAAGACCTGCTTTAACCTGTGCATGTCCATTGTTACCCTTGGCCAGGGGTGACTGGTGAGGTGAAAATACACCACATTGTGGCTTACAGAGAGACCCTGCTGATCTTGTTCTATTGAAGAAGAGGGCATACAAAGCTGTGCTATGTGCAAGCCCCTATAACTGCAAACTGTTTAAAGAGTCCTGGGAGTTTAAAATTAAAATGTCTAATTATTGGCTCAGAGCTCAAATAAGAGTCTGATTTTTTTTTAGAAGAAAGGAAGAAGCATGGGCTTCTGTCCCAGCCTCGACTGCGGTGGAAGATAAGTCTTTAGACTGACTCCCAAAGGGATCAAGGTCACAGCCTTAACACATAACAATCAAACAGGCAGGTTTTTTTTTAAACTGTTTTTTTCCCAAGGACTTGCTTTCTTTGGCACTCAAGTCAAGTGCATTCATCTAAAAACAAAAGCAGCTCAATTTCTGTTTGAACTTCCTCTCTACAGAGAAGATAACAGCAGCTCAGTGTTGTGAAACGCGTTTTGGAGTTTTCAGACAAACCTTTTGTTATATTTATAAACTGGCTTGGGGGGTGGGGGTCTCAAACTCAGTTCCTCGAAGGTCCAGGAGTGCCTTCTGCTTTTTGTCCTCCCCAAACTCTTGAGTTGCTTATTTAATAAAATGCAGCATTTTAGCACTTCTGACCAGACTCTTGAGGTGTTTTACAGCAGTACCTGGGGAGCCTGAATGAAGTGAGCGATTTTGAGTCATCAGCTGTAAGAGACAAACATCCTTCACGTGGCTAACAAGGCAATTAGGCTAATTATTTAATAGGAACGAGGGAAGATGTGTTCCATGCTGAGAAGAGAAGGAAAGAAGCGTTTCTGCTGTGGACCCTTCTTCAGGCGTCGCACCTAAACCTTCACTTGTTCCTTTGCAGCCGACGCATGCTGACGCAGCTCCCTGCTGGAACTTAATTATTGAATAGACATCCTGCCCTGAATCATGAACCAGAAGACACCGGGCCCACCTAGGAGCTGTTGGAAAGTCAAAGTCATGTTATGAATGTTAGAAATGTGAGCTGTGCTTTAAGTATGGCGTCGGTGTCGGCACTAAAATGAAAAGGCTGCGCAGAAGCGCCGGAGCCGCAAGATGTAAGCTTATATTAAGTTTCAGCTAAAGAAGGTTTCTTTTCATTTGATAAACGGTCGGATGCAACCTTGGCCCATTTACAAGATGGAAGCAAGAATGTTTTTTCTCATTCTTCTGGCCACTCAGGCCAAATAAACTCTGCAGGTAGAATAAAGAGAGCTTGTGATTTCTTTGTTTCAGGTGCATTGGAGGACTCTGCTCGGCACTCTTACTGGGGTGTACCCGTTTTCTTCTTAAAAGAATAAGCTTCGAAAAGTCTGCAAATGATAAACTAGTACTAATCTCACAAGGCCCTTATTTACAGTGCATTCCAGTACTGGATTATTACCGGTAAGGGTCTGCTTTTAACTGCTGTGGAAGATGTCCCATACAGTACTGTATTGCAACGGGTGATGCTTTAGTTAATTTGTATAAAAAAGGGCTTAGTCAATGACATGTTAAATGAGGGTGATATAATGTTATTAAAGCACCTACACATACTGTACATGGTACTGCTCATCCTAATCCTAAAATTAACTCCATCATTATCACTACTGAATATCCGTGGATCCTTTATTAATTATTACGTAGACACCCATTTGATGGTAACTTAACTGATATTCTGTTAAGTCTTTTATAGAAATTAACTCTACCCTGACAATGTCATGCTCTTCATACTGCAATCTCTGGCACAGTCTGTTGAATACGTAGATGTAAACAAATTGTTCTGTGAGGATGTAAGTCCTGCCTGCCATGCATGCCAAATTAAAAACAGAATTAAGTCTCTTAGCTGGCTTTGAAAGATGGTTAATCCGATGTGTTCCCTTTTTTTCTCCGCCCTTCTCCTTTCTGCAGTTACATACAGTAGTACTTTTTCACCTTCGACAGAGAGTGCATTCCCAGGCCAGCCCCGGTGTACATCTGCACCAGTGCTTTTCTGTCCTGGTCCTGGGAGTCTCTGTGTTTTCTGGTTTCCATCCCAATTGGACTCTTAATCACTAAAGGCTCACAGAACGTCTTGCGTGACTCAGTCATCATTCTTTGATTTCATAAATACTCTGCTGCAGGTGTATTGTTGATAAGGAACTAAGGAACTAGGGAAACAGGTCTCCATCTGCTCTCTCTGGCTTGCCTGTTAAGTGCTTGCTGGCTTATTTTTGTCCCTAAGCAGCTCTTAAAATGTGACCAATTAATGGTGTCCAGACACAGGTGGGAGTGACACTGTGTCTGACAACTCTTCCGAAAAAAGCCGCTCCGTTACGTATATTCCTCACACCTGAATGGTGAATGGTGTTTAACTGGGAAACTGGATTAATCAAGATCAAGATTAATTAATTAATAATTCCTTACACTTATAGAGTGAGTGCTTTACAGGTAATAGGGACTCCCCACCACTACCACCAATGCGCAGCCCCCACCTGGATGTGATGGCCCGTTCTGGCTGCCATTATGCTCACCACACACCAGCTGTCAGAGGGGAGGAAAACGGAGAGAGGAAGCCAGTTCAAAATGGGGATTATTCCCATGATTGGTAAAGGCCAGGGGGAGGGTTGGCCAGGACACGGTGTTTCTCTCTTTGAGAAACTCTCTGGGGTTTTTAATGACCACAGAGAGCCAGGACCTCGGTTTTACGTCTCATCCGAAGGACGGCCCCCTTTTTTCCCCCAATTTTGTTTATTAAATATCACAGCAGAGACATCAATTTTTACACTTTTTAAGAGGATAACAATGAATGTAAGAAAAAGAAATGAAGAATGGAATTAAGGGGAAAAAAGTGAAAGAGGAAAGAAAAAAAACAAACAAACAGGAACAGGTACAGTCGCAGCTATATCGGAGTTTACCATAAAAAGGCATAAAGGTCATAGCATAATTATACATAATGGCTTAGGAGTATATACTGAGCTCCTCTTTTAAACCTAGTGCTCTCAAAGGCTTATCCCACAAATCTTTAAAATGGTCCAGTTCACCTTTTAGGATGAATCTGAACTTTTCCAAAGAGATCAAGTCTCTTATTAGTAATTCCCAGAGGGCTGGAGAGGGAGGCTCGTCACCCACCCACCCACCTGGTCACGATTGCCTTTCTTGCCAGCATCAGAATCAGCTGGACTACTTCCCCGTGGTTCGGCAGCTGAACAGGCAAGACTCCCAAGATGCATGCGAGAGGATGAGGATCTAACTGTCTTACAAAGATCAAAGATATTTTATTACATACCTCCCACTAGAACTTCTGGATATATGTACATTCCCACAGACAGGGGAACAGTGTTCCAACCTGGGTTTTACATTTAGGGACGGCCCCTTTTTAACCAGACACAGAACACAGGATGAGCACCCGCTACTGGTCCCACTAACATCTCTTCCAGCAACAGCCTTGGCTTTCCCAGGAGGTCTCTTATCCAGGTTGTGGGTTGCAGGGTGACGTACAGTAGGTGCTGGCTGCTAGGATTGATGCTAATGTTCGAGAACTAACACTGTGTTCAACAACAAAAGAGCCCACAAAAAGGTCTTAATTGACCAGTGAAGGGTGCACCTAAGAGCTCAGCTGAAACAGAAACCAGAAGACACAGGGGTCCTCCAGGGTTCGGCTTGATAACCACAGGGACCTCAACGTACCGAAGATGCATCAGTGCTCTGATTGTGTTTCTGCCGCTGTCAGAGTGGTGTAACAGGTGTGCTCCTATTCTCCTCCCGCAGGGTCGGTGCACACGAGAGAACTGCAAGTATCTCCACCCACCGCCACACCTGAAGACTCAGCTGGAGATCAACGGGCGCAACAACCTCATCCAGCAGAAGACGGCTGCAGCCATGCTGGCGCAGCAGATGCAGTTCATGCTGCCCGGAGCTCAGCTACAGCCTATAGTAAGCTGGGGTACCGGCTCAGTGCAGCGCTGGAAAGCCGGTCGTTCTTCTGCGAGTGTCATCGCCGTGACCTTCCCGAACGCGAAAGCTTTATCGCCTCTCTCTGACGCCACCTGAAAAAATGCGTCCGCGTCCGTATAATCAGGGGAACAGTTGGTGGTCTTGAATGTCTTGTTGGGACAAGAGGTGGCCTTACCCTCTTAATTGAGCAGGCGCCTAACCTTTCTGCAAGTATTTTGATCAAAGGAAATTGCTCTGTATGTTCTGTATAGCTGTAGCCAGTAATCCATGGCATAGCCTCTTGGGCTGGTATGGTGGATAGCAGGTTACAGCTCTGCAGCCAGGGAGGGGCGAGCTGGCGTAACCACCCCGTGCCCTACAGTGTGGGAAGCCCCAGACTGAGACCTCAAGAAGGCCAGCTTTGACTTTTCTAACACGCCCTGCAACAGCTATTCATGCAAATACATGTGTGTTGATCCCGTGTATACGGAGAGGCTTCAGACAGTGGCTTGCAACTGTATCCTGCTTATTAGTCCTTGACCGCGTCATTAGGCTGCTTTCTTTGCTTTGTCTCGTTATGGCCAGCTGCAATCCGTGATTATTTCTTCACTCAACATGTGCATCACTGGGGCAGCACGGTGGGGAAGGGGTTGGCACGCAATACAGGGGCCCTGGGTTCAATTCCGGTCCAGGGGTGCTCTGTGTGGAGTTTGTATGTTCTGTTTCTCTTGTGTGTTTATGTGAGTTTCCTCCAAGTTCTCCGGTTTCCTCCCACAGTCCAAAAACATTTGGGTGGGTTAACTGGCTTCTGAAGCAACTATTTAATTTTAAGGAGGGGCTGTGATCACCAGTTAGTGGTGCAGGAGAGGCCCTGTTCACCGTGGCTCACCCTCTTGACATTTTCCCTGGCAGGTCCACACTGCTGCTCCACAGCTCTCTCTTGGCTTTTAAGGTGTGGAAGTGTATTCTGTGCGGAGTTTGCTTGTTATGCTAGCGTTCACATGGGCTTTCTCTGGGTTCTCCCTTTTCCCCAAGGTCTCCGAGACATCCCTGCTAGCTTGAACAGTCTCTCTAATTGTGCCCCTGTGTGTAACCTTGTCCTGCGATGGGCTGCTGTCCCCCCCAGGGTGTTGTCCGGCCTTGTGCCCTGTATCCTGGGATGGGCTCCAGGTTGCCGGGCTGCTTAACTAACCCTGACTAAGCGGCTGCATGATAAAGGTTGGATGGTAAACCCCCGTGCTTGTTACTTTCTTTTTTTAAAGCTTGTAGCTGCTGCATCATCCTTTTTGCAGAGACTGGATGAATGCTAGCCAAAAGTGATCACAATAAGAAGTGTTCCTTCTGTTTTTGGCAAAGGCTACGGACTGTATGTTGGATGTAAACGACGCAGCTCAGACATCTTGTGGCTCTTTCCATCTGGCTCACTGCCTGTTTTTTTTTTTTTGTTCGTTCACAGACCACGTTTGCTGTGACGCCCTCCCTGGCCACCAGCCCCAGCATGGCCTTCAGCCCGTACCTGAGCCATATGAGCCCTGGGATGGGCCTGATGCCCGAGCTGCTGCCCAACACTCCCGTGCTGGTCTCGGGGAGCCCCACGGTCACCGTGGGGGGCAGCACGGCCGGACAGAAGCACCTGCGCACTGACAAGCTGGAGGTATCCACACTGTCCTCCTCCCTCTCTCTCTGGCCCTGCTCTCCCGCGGCGTTCCGTCCTGTTCGCTCTTCCTCTCTCGGCAATTATCGCTGTCACTCTCAGCCATCACCCCTTTCACAGTGTGAGGCTCCAGGATGCGCACATGTGTTTCTCACTCTCACACGCCCCTGTCTCGCTGCAGACTTGTCTTTTCACTGCAGTTCTTTCTGCGTGCGCTGATGCTCCAGGCACTGCATAGACATCCATCTTCCATCTGTTGGTGGGGGTCACAGCCGTTAAAGCAGTTAAAAGCATATGCAGTTAAAATAAAACATCTAAAATGTAACTTAGCAATATTAAAAAAAGATACTGTGTCAGTACTTGCATGCAAAAAATGATCTCAGAATTCAATGCATTATTAATTGACTCTGTAATAAATTAAATAGCCTCTCTTACATTGCTGTCTCTCTGGAATCCATCTTTTTTTTTTCCTTTTTCCTTTATTTTTCTTAACCTTTTTGTCATTTTTTGTCCCTTTTCTATTTATGCGCATGTGATCCAAAACAAAATAATCTAAAAAAAAATCTTTTTTTTTCAAATGTGAAAGAGTGTTTCTCAGCCTCGTGGTGGCATTGAAATAACATTGCACTAGGGATGGAAGGGTACGGTACGTGTCCCCATCATGGGATAGTACTAGTCTCTTCCTGGCAGCAGGTAGCTCACCAGGGTGCTGTTTTTGCCTGAACCGCTTTTGGGATGTGTAAAGAGCTTACATCACTTGATTTTGGTTAATACTTCCCCTGGGCACGGATACATTTTTTTCAGTTCTGAACGAGCATCCATTGGGACAGTGTGCTCCTGACATTGCAGTGGGCCTGAGAAAACACCTTTTGGTGGTTGTACTATAAACTCAAGACAGTCCAATTTCGTTACTTACATGACTTTATTTTTGTGGCAAATCTTCTTTAATGCTTCACCGAGCTACAGTCTGGTAGCAAATTGGCACAGCTGCTTTCTTTTGTTGGTTTTTCATTGGGGACAGTAGTACTCTTCAGGTACCCTGTGTGGTGTGCATTCATAACCTTTGTGTGGAAAATAGCCCCTGCTTTTTAAAGCCTTCAGCAACATGTACTAAACACTGGTGATAAATGCTCAGAAGCATATCTGTGTTGCTGTGGAGTGATTTGGACCCTGCATGTGTACTTTGAATCCTGCATACATGTGTTTCGGCCCTTGCGTGCATGTGGTCTGTGTGTGTGCTTAGGGCAGTGTGTGTCCACACTTGTGTTTTGGGCCTTGTGTGTACCTGCATCTGTGCGTGTGTGTTTCGGGCCACGCAGTGCACGCGTGTGTGTTTTGGGCCTTCCGTGCGTGCGCACGTGTGTGTTTTGGGCTTTGTATGCGTGTGTGTCTGTGCGTGTGTTTCGGGCTTGTGCGCGCGTGTGTGTGTGCTTCGGGCCTTGCGTGCAAGTGGTCTATGGGTGTGCTTAGGGCCTTGTGTGTCCACAAGTGTTTCTCGGGCCTTGTGTGTACCTGCATCTGTGCGTGTGTGATTCGGGCCACACAATGCACGCGTGTGTGTTGTGGGCCTTCCGTGCGCGCGTGCACGTGTGTTTTGGGCTTGTGCGCGTGTCTGTGTGCTTCGGGCCTTGTGTGCATGTGCGTGTGTGTGTGTATTGGCCCCTGTGCCGCCCTGTCTCCATGCTGACCGCGCCTGCTCCCACCGCAGGTGTGCCGGGAGTTTCAGCGGGGGAACTGCACGCGGGGCGAGAACGACTGCCGCTACGCCCACCCCATCGAGGCCGCCATGATCGACGGCAGCGAGAACTCGGTCACCGTCTGCATGGACTACATCAAGGGCCGCTGCTCCCGGGAGAAGTGCAAGTACTTCCACCCCCCCGCCCACCTGCAGGCCAAGATCAAGGCCGCGCAGCACCAGGCCAGCCAGACCGCTGCTGCTGCCGCCATGGTGAGAGCCTCCCCAAGCCCTGGTGCCGCGGCCCGGCAAAGGGAGGGGTTACAGCTTCTCCTGTGCCAGTTGTACCCACTTTACCCGTGAAAGCACCCCCCCCACACACACACACACTTCAAATAGATCGTTTCTCCCCTCCTTCACTCTCCCTCTTCTATTGTCTTTGTTGTTGTTTTTTTATTTTGTTGTCAACTTCCTGTCTTGCAGAGGCCCCCTTCCTGTCTTGGGCATCTCTCTTTCCAAGACAGGTCGACACTGGTGTTTATCTTTTTTTCGTCCTTTAATGATAGTAAAAAAAAAAAAGAAGTGGGTATTTAAGTGCAGCTGAGAGCTGCGCAGGGTGTGTAGTTGGGATAGTCAGGGCGATCTGAGAATTTTTCTAACATCACTTGCGCTTGTGTTTGGCTGGAAAAAGAGCTGCGTGGTTGTATCTGTAAGCTGCAGCGTTTTTTGTATGTAAGCTCAGCCCCTCGCTTTCGACACTTCTCCACTGGGCAATGTGATAGTCCTCTTCCTCTTGTGTATAAAGACCCAGTGGCATTGCCAGCTAATGTTGGGGGGAAAAAAGAGTCGCTGCTGCTGCCTTCTCCAGCTCCTTGCCTCCAGACTCTTCCATTCTGAGACGTGTGACTCTGACCGGCCTGCTCGTGTGACAGTGCTGCACGTCTCCAGTCCTCAGGGGGCCACAATCCAGGATACATGACCAATGTTTTGATAATAAATAAATCTCCCAGGTGGTTTGGAAGCGCAGGCCGATAGGAGGGAGAGGGGGGTGGTCATAGCTCTGTCACGTTTACTTTTTGTCCCATTTAAAGAAAATGAGAAATATTCAGTGACAGTTGTTCACCACTGACCCCGGACTCTTCCCGTTGATGTCTGGCACTGTCGTCCTTCTCAGGAGAAACCCTTGAGGCTCGATAAGGAAGGACGCCTGACTGGGGCAATGCTGTGAGCCACAGGTTGTCAGCAAAATAACAAATGCCATTCCTGCTGGTGGTGTCATGTCTTATTAACGATCCCCGTCAGATATTACAGCCAATTAGGTCCCATTGTCTTTTCTGAAGTGCATGATGTTAATTATTAATCTGCGATTTGCCAGTATCTTTTTTTTTTTGCAGTTTGTTTTTTTTTTCTTTCCAAATCTTCTGCATCCTGGCTTTTATAAAGCATGTTAAATAATACATAAGGTCCTGGAAGGGCTGTGCGAGGGCTTTGTCTTCCCTGCCATTCTTAAATAATGGCAGATCTCTGACGTTGCAGTGTCACGCCATCCGCAGTGTTGTCGCAGGATGTGAGAAATTAGGCCTAGCAAGGGAAGGCGTGGAGCTTGATACCACAAATGGGTGGCAGTGATGCTACCTCATGCATTAATCAGGGTGAAGTGGAGGTAGACATCCTTCTGTAGTGTTACACTGGGCAACTGATGAGGCTTTTCGTCCCCTTTCAGTTAGATAAACAAATCCTATAGCTGGAAAATGTTAAACAATAATCAGCTGGAATTTATTGTGTTTTTGCTGATTATTGTAGTATAGAAGCTGTTATTGGACTGCTTGCGTTCTATACGGTGGCAATCTACCGAACATGGAAGTGTTTGTCTGCTTTTTTCGGAGTAAAGAAAAGTTTACAAAGGTTACAAACAACAGAAGGCCATTGAGTGTGTTTGGTTCGATAATGTTACTTCATAGAAACATTACCAACAGGTTTAGAAATGTAAGTTGTTTTTTGCACCCGAGAATGCTGTATTTAACACAAATATTTCTTATGTTGAGGAGCTACATTTAGCTGGAATTTCTAGACACGGCACAGTCCGTTTTCCCGCTCACTTCAAAGCAGAGACCCTACTGAAGTGCATGGTGTCAGTTGGAGCCAGTGTACATAAGTATTTCATTCCCTGGTCGTTTCTTCAGATCTTACACGAATGCACTTTTTTTTCTAGTTTCGTTCTCGGTTCCAAAAAATGAGCAAGAGGTGTTTGGGTTAAAAGTGAATAACATGGTGGATTTTGAAATTGAACAAAGCCATAAATCGTGACACTCCACAGCGCTGCCAATCCTCTGGTTTGCTCTAATGGCTGTATTTACCTGCCTTCCTTTAGGGTTTCTCCCTGGGGGTTTGCTTACTCATCATGCTGTAATTTATTTTGATTTGATTTTGTTTTGTTTAAAATAGTAACCACCTTCATGTTGTTTAATACATTTTTGTGTTTTTTCCCCCCCTCCCTCCTTCCTTGTCCTCTTCACCTTCCCCACAATGCATTGCTCTCCCTCCGACGCACCTCTGCTTGCTGTTTCTGTTAATATGCTTGAACCCCATTGGCTCATTGCCATCATGTGCTCGCTGCCTGCTAACCCAGACCCAGCCAGCTGCTCGACCCCTGAAGCGAACCCTGCAGCCGACCTATGACCTGGTACTTTGACCTTTCACCTTCTTGCTTTGCATGTATCTGTGTGTAGTTTGCATACCAGGCTCATTGTGTGTTGTGACCTATTTATTGCCATCTCACCCTGTTAGGACACTGCTTGTTTTTCCCCAGAATCCTTTGTAGTTGTTGCCATAGTTGGTATCCCATCTTTTTAAGCTTGCCAAGATATTTTGGATCCATGAAAGAAATATACAGTATATATTCGTTTTCTAATAATTGTTTTTTGAAGAAATCATCCAGAAAAGATTTACATAAGATTTCAAAGAGTTACTTAAATATAAATAATGTAATAACATAGGTGAAACTGAAATCCCCATTGACTCATCTGGCCTGTTTAGTTGCTAGTAGCTAATTGTTCTGAGGATCTCATGCAGTTATTTCTTAAAAGAACCCAGGTATTAGCTGGTCTGGTAGCTGCTTTCACTCCCCTACAACTGTTCATGGAAAAAAATGCCTCTTTAAAGCAGCCACTGACCATCTGGGACATGTAAACCTAACCTGTTTCCAAAGCTTAATTAGGGTCTGATTTTATTTCTTAAAACAGTTGTTTTTTTCATATCCTTATATATACAGCCAGAGTGGATGCGGTTTTATTTTTTGTGTTATTTTTTGCCATTTTTGTAGTTGAAATCAAATAGTTCGTGTGAACTTTCGGGCTCAGATATAAATTCACAAGCAAACATTTTCAAGGAGAAACATTTATTATGTTTGGTATTGTCTGTTCTTACTAGACTGCTAGCAGACGGGAGCTACAGGTGAAAATTTCAGACCCGTGTTGCAGGTGGTTTAGATGAGACATTATGATTAATATTTTTGCATGGAAAAAATGTTTTATAATATTTTTCTAGTGAATCCTAGTTGACGAAATCTGAAAACAGTTGAAATTTAACGTTTAAGTGTTCCACCAACAGGTGTGAAGTGAAAAGGACTCTTCCTCTTTCGATTAAGCATTTTAATGAGGAAGCTTGTTTACAGCCTTAGTCTGTGCACACAACTCCCTCCTGTGGGCTTAGAAGCTTAGGACTTGCAGTACTTTTTCACCAGCTGACTTTCAGCTGTTGTATTAGATATGACTGCTAAAAGGCCTGGGGCCTTGTTATTCTTGTGAGCAAGTTCATTTGTTACAGATTGAGCTGAAGGGTGTGTTCACATACCCTCCAAGGAGAAAGCCAGGCCAGCAAAAGAAAGTCATTGCAAGGCTGAAAACACAGCCTCAATTTATTCTGAAATATATTTAAATTATATGTAAGAGAAAGAAGAATTACAAGGAATCTGTTAAGTGTTTCTTGCAAGGTAATCATTTTAGGCTGTTAAAATATGAATTTCCTACATGCCAGATTAATTTTCTCTCAATGACAGTAAAATATGGGCTCTTCCATATGTTACCTGGAGCAATATTTGTTCCTGAAATGTCTAGTATATTCGATTCCTTGTTAAATGACTTTTCGAAGGACCTGCACTGCTTGAGGCTTGCTTTTAGATGTTGATACTTGCAAGTTTTGAGTAGCTTAAATATTTTTAGCCTTTTCTAAAACGTATTATATGTGTCATGAGTAATTTGCACCTATTTTTAATGAATGTTCTGGGGAGCTTAAGCAAAGACATCTTGTTGGTACTTATTTCTAGCTTTTAAGAAGGCTAAATAGTAGGGAAAACAGTCACTAAACAGTCTTAAGGTTTTACACTGTCCAGATTGTAGCTGAAATGAGTAAGTTATGCTTCTGCTCTGCAGTTACATAAGATGTTAGCACCAGCTGTTGTATTAGCTACATTACAGACACAAAAGTTTAAAGCGATTTGGTCACGTCCCGATAATTTGCCGTTCCGAGTGGCACTGTGGCTGTGCTGTAACCCTGTGTCCGTGTCTGTGTGGAGTTAGCTGGCCTGTCTCTCACTTCTCTGCCTCTCACAGCTGGCTCTGTCTCCCCCCGCCCACAGGCCCTGCCCCCCGGGGCCCTCCAGCCAATACCAAAGAGGCCCGCGCTCGAGAAAACCAACGGTGCCACCACTGTCTTCAACCCCAGCATGTTCCATTACCAGCAGGCTCTGGCCAACATGCAGCTGCAGCAGCCAGCCTTCATCCCCACAGGTGAGTGAGGAGCAGGGAGCCCCGCGCCGCACCGAATTCTGCTCGCCTCCGGCCCCCTCCGTCTTCCTGCATCCCCGCTTTCCCTGGCTCCTCCTTCATTGCCCGCCAGACAAGGAGAGCTGGCCACCCGGTTTCCCCTCCTTTTTCGTTTTTGGTGTCGTAGACCGCGTGAAACAGGGATGCCAAACTCCGTCCCAGGAGAGAGCCTACAGTGCCTCCGAGCTTCTGTTCCGTTTGCGCTCTCGTTTGCCTAAGCGGTCCGATGTCCCGCAGTTCAGGTCAATCTTGAAAATCGGGATCTTCTGATCTGAATCTCCCAATATTTTTTTTTTAACCAAATAAAAAATACCCTCCGCACGCCTTACTGATCAGGTTGGTCATTTAATCTAGAGCTCACCATTGAGTTCGAAGACCCTGATCAAATGAAAGAACCGCGGTCTGGACTAAACATGCATTAGTACACTGTTTTCATTTCAATATCCCATCATAAGGATATTGACCCTACAGGCTGCTGATAGGCACAGTATGTTGCAATAGATGTTTTGTTGAATTTGTTGCTAGTGTGCAGCTTGTGTTTTCTTCATAGTAACATCATAGTTTTGCATGAACGGAATGTTGTTTGGATATGGGTTTTTTAGCCTAAAAGTTTCTAAATGACTGGGCCTTTATATCGCTTCACTGAATCACTGCTGAAAACATCCATCTTGTAAAGAGGGTGCTGTCAGTTTCACATACGCTATAGAGCTTCTTGCTAAACCAGTTCAGTATTAGACAGTATTCCCCGTCTTCCTGCTGCAGTTAAACTGCTCAAGAATAATTTGCTTAAAATAATCGGCAAATCCACAAGAATTCAAGAATTAATAGAAGTATAAAATATTTGATAGTATAGTCATTCTGTAATTGGTAAGATTTAGACTTCCTGAGGTCTTTAGATTTAGATGGAGTGTCAAGAGCAAAGAGTGTCCTGAATGCTGAATACAGAGGCTTGAGTGAAGGGAAGTCATCTAGACAGACTGTACTGGGAGCTCGTATTCACTGGCTCTGCAGCCTAGTTTGTAAACTTGAGCTTATGCCCTTCCCGGAAAAAGGAGCAGGTAGGTACGGTGTTGGGATGCAGGGTAATCTGGGAAAGAGAGAGTATCACTGAGTAACATTGTCTGATCTAGAAATCACACTCTCTGCATGCACTCTGGGTATGGTCTGACCTTCATCTGGCTGCTGTCATAGAAATGGTGTACAGGGACACAGACCCCTAGCACTGCCACACTGATGATGATGATGATGATGATGATGATGATAATGGGTTGCTTGCTCACTTTAATTTTAAACACGCTGAAAATGCTGGAAGTGAAGACTTAGCTGAATGCTGAATTAGCTGAATTTCTCTGTATTTCTGTACGGGTGATGTAACAGTATGTTTTTTACCTGTGCATTATATTAGTTTAAAAATTATTCCCCTTTTATTGAAATGAGCTGTCCCAAGGGAATGTGCAGATGCTAAAAAACGGGACATACGTGCTCCGTACCTCTAACTGTGTCACCCCTTTTGCTGCAGCCTTGGGGTGAACGCGGATGTACGAGACCTTCACAGTCTGCCGTAGCTGTTCTTTAATCCAGCCACCCAGAGCCTGAGCACGTGTAGCTAACAGACTCCAGAGCAGCCGTGACCGAAGACCGGTCTGTGCCTTTGACAGCAGCCTTTAGACTCTGTGTTCTTGTTTGGGAGGGGGGGGGTTGTATTGTTGTTGCTTACACTACTTTAGACTCACTAACCAATATATTTTTGTTTTGTTTTTTTGTTTTTTGTCCTTTTGAAATCCATCTTTCCCGCCTTACTGCATGATGTTGCAGGCTCTGTTCTGTGCATGACTCCCACTGGAGGCGTTGGTAGGTTCCCTTCTTCAAAGTCTCCAGCAGAGATCGCTGGGCTGTAGCTGGGTGCAGAGGTGGTGAGAGGCTGTTGCTTGCTCATAGCTAGGGCCAGGTCTAGGTAAAGTGTTATGCAGAATGCAGTCCATCACATTGCAGAGTATAGATGGAGCCAGGGCTTCCGTTACTCTGATCAGTCGATAATCGGGACCTTGCTTTTATGGATAACTCTACAGGAATGGATTAAAATGTATCTTGAAACACCTGTAAATCCTGAGGGACATAATCAATTTTCTAAAAACTACATAGTGAAAATTCAGAACAGAACACAGCTTACTGTTCTTTCCAGTAGGATAAATAAAAAATCCTCACAAAACCAAATGATACCGAGCAGTAGTTACAGCAATGCCCAGCTGTAGAAGCCCTACAGCTCAGCATGGCCCAGATACAGTCCTGCTGATCCTCTGTCTGTCTTTGCACACTTGTACAGTGCACCTCGTGCCCTGTGTGTGTGCTACTGAGTGTGTATTGCTCTGTGTGCCTGTGTAGGGGATGGGCCTGGTGTGCATACTGCTAGCCATCACGTGATCGCCTCCTGATTCACATGTACAGTGTACAAAACAGTCTTCCTCAACTGCTGCCTGACAGAGGCCTTCCTGTTCTTGCTGCAGTTTGGCACTGCCTTAAAAATCATGTCCTCTCGCTCCTCCTTTCAGAGCTCAGCTTGTGGGGGAAAAAAAAAACCCTCCCACGTGTCCCTTTTTCGGGGCGGGGGGGAAAAAAAATTAGCAAGGAGACGAGGTCTTTCACAAGCGAACTAACGCCCTCTCTCTTTATTCGAAGACTCGCAGCCACCAGCAAGGATGTGCCCAAGTTTGTGTAACAAATTCTACCCCCAAATTAAGCAGCTTAGACGAACACGAGGGTTTGAGCTGCAGCTTGAAGGTTTCAAAACTTTAACTCTTGAGAACAGTTAAAGATTTGTCCTGTGCAAATCAGATCACACAAGGAAGTCTTTGAGGCCTATAATGTGCCACGGTGGGCTTTGTGGAATTCAGCTTTCAGTTTGTTTTGGCCTGGTCCTTGCAGTGCCTTGTGCTTGGATGGCCCCTCAGGGTGTGTTTGCAGGAAGGAAGACTTGGTGTGTAGGCTGTATTGCTCCCCTCCACTCCACCTCAGCCTAGGGCTACTCAGATCCTCAGATCCCCAGTGCAGTGAGCGCCACAGGCAGAGTTGGGACTAGACGCCCAGCCGCTCCCTGTCAGTGCCAGGATTAACTGGTGAGGGGCAACTCGCCAGGTTCTCTGTTTGCACTGTTGGCAGGCGACAGAGGAGCCCCACCCCACCCCACTAAAAAAAAAACCCCACCGGTCGGCAGTACTCCCTCGGGCAGAGGGGGCAGCCGGGTTACCCTCTCTGGGCTCGGAACGAGGCTTGGTCCCTTACGGGCAAAGAGAAGAAAAGGAAAAAAAAGTTGCCATTTCAGTGCCGACAGCAGTGGCCTCTGGGAGTGTTTCAGTTTCCCCCAGCCAGCCCGCGAATGTGTCGAGAGCTGAGAGCAGTTCTCTCAGTGCCACCACGGACCCTGCCCGACTGTGCAGACGATTGTCTGTTGTGTAGACACTGCGTGGGCGTGCCATGCATGGTCTCACCCCATTGTGCCATGTGCTTTGTAAACGCCTCATACAAAACCCCGAGCTGAGTCTGAATTAAGAGAGGTGGAACGTCTAGTCTGTCACGAGCCAAGGCTGCTGTAAGGTGTGGTGTGTGAAGTGTGTCTGTGGTGGTATGTTGCTACTATTGGGGGTATTTTTAAGATGGGCATTAACCTCTGTGGGCAATACATTACAGAGGGAATGGCCATCGTATCATATAGACAGAGGGTAGTGATGTTGTAATGTAAGGGACATTTGCGTTCAAAAGATTAACTACAAATTAAGGCGGGGTCCTCCCGTGCTGGTTAAGATGGTTTCTGTGAGATGAAACAGATTGGGTCATAACTGTTCTATTTAAAAAATATGAATATTGTATCATCAAGGGCCATCAATGTAATTTTTACGTATTTTAACTTGCCAAGTTTCATTTGAGAAGTTTACGATGCTAACCAATGTTCAAATTTCTCCACATAGATCATTTATTTTTTTTATAAAAAGAAATTCCCGGATATACTACTTTTGCGTTCAAAGCCAAAAGAAAGCTGTTTTGATAACGCAAAAGACTTGTGGAGGCAGAAGGGCACTGCTCATATGCTGTATGTACTAATGGAGCGAACAATAAAGTGCCCGTAACGCTCATCATGAGAAATGGGACCTGGATGTCCTCTTCAGAAACTTCAACCAGCATCAGAGACCCTGGCCGACAGGCGACGGTCAGCGTCCAGTGGCTCGTGATCAGCTGACCTCGACCACAGTCTGTAACATCAGGCTAGACCAAGGGCTGCCAACACGCACTGTCTGGGGCCTCGGAGAGGAACAGTGTTGTTCACTAGCCTCCTTTCCTTACAAAACCTTCATCCCCCCCTCAGCCAGGATGATGGCTTTATCTGTCCGTGTTTTTGTGATACAAAACGACATTATTTTCCCCCTTTTTTTAGTTCTGTTTTTAATTCCTCCATTGGGTTATTTTGGGATTTTGCAACCATCCAAACTAAACTAAATACCTAACTTTCAGATGTACATCATTATTGTGTGCTAATGTACTAAATGGTTTCAGTTCCTTTCTTATTATGATTGTAATCCGCTTTTCCCTTTTTTCTCTTTGTGTTTTTTTTTTTGCCTTTTTTATTTTGGTGGCTCTGTTCTGTTTGGTTTTTATGTTCATTTTGCATGCCTGTGCCCTTCGTTAAACCATCATGGCGGTGTCACGTGACTTGTCGCTGCGAATCCTGCCACGCCTCCTCCTCCCGCACCCCACGCGTTGCCATGGTTACCATAACGCTCCACCCCTCCTGTCTCTCGCTCCCATGGTTCCCTTCTGAAAGTTCCCATGATGCACGGTGCTACGCCTTCCACTGTTACGTCGGCAACAACACCTGTCACGAGTGTCCCTTTCGCTGACACTGCTGCAGCCAATCAGGTTTGCCCTTTCATATGGCTTTGTTAGCGTAGAGCATTGTCTGTCTGTCTGTCCTGTCTGCTGTGTTAGATGCTGTCAGAAAGGTAGAAGCAGCAGGCGCTTCTTCACATCCAAGGTGAAATGAAAGCCATTAAGACTCGGCACTGCCTCCTTGGTCTTTCTGCTGTTTTAATTCGGACTCCCTTCTGTCTAATAATTCCCCAGATAACTTGCACAAAATTTAACACATTCACGTGGAGACTCTTACTACCAATGATAAGGTTTCACTGCAAAGCTTATTCCTGTTGAGATTTCCCTCGTCTCATGCCTGTATTATAGCATACGTGACGGTGAAAGCGACTCTTCCTTGTTTTCAAGATTTTGTGATTCCGGCATTAGGTCTCTTAAATTGCCGTCTCTCTCAAGCTGAGATGGCTTGCTTGCAGGATGCTCGGGTTTCCTGGACCACGTGCAGTACCACTTCATACCTGCTAGATGTCGCTGTTGCGTTGCTGCTCTCCCACTATTTTAACGGCAATAGTGGAGGTGACTGGTCTGTGGTATTTCAATCAGTGCCTTCACTCCATCTCCAAGAAGCGCTTGCTGAAGTTACCATTGTTTGCTTGTGTGGAAGAAACTGAAGTACATGTGTTCTTATGAATGCAATGTAATGAAAAAGTAACTTAATAGAACAATGTGATTGAAATTAGTATTTTATCTTGATGTTTGAATGCCTTATTCTTGTCTATTTACAATAAGCATTGCCATTGTATATCTTTAAATTATTTCTTTAGAGAACCTCATTTTAATATGAAGTCTTTTTCACTGTAGATTTCCCAATTATCTGTAGATGAACTGAATAGCAACATGTTTGTTTCACAGATGTAACCATTGCCAATAGAACAGTAAGTTATATTTTATATCAATAATAAATTGTTGAATTGGAGTGTATTCCCTGCAAGGCTGTCTCATGACAGGGCTGTGATGTCTTGGTCTGTATTAGCTCAGGGACTGATTGTAAATTCAATCGGAAAAGCCAGATTTAAAAATAAATACCTAATCGGCAACAAAAGAATGCATCATGCATCAGATTTCTTTTTCGTTTTAATGAGATTTGGATGAAAACACGATTTGTAACTTTTACATTTAAATTAAACAGCTGAATCCGGATCTAAAAAAATCAACCGTCTTAATTAACAATTTCTTTTGAGAAATTCAGCAGTGATTTGTTGTTCAGAAAGTGCGACCCTAGTTTAATTATTCCATTATTCTCCTCTCAATTTGCTGTTATATTTGGCTTCTCTCTTATACAGCAACACTCTCTTGTCATTAGACTGCCGCCAAGAGAATCCCTCTGGGTGAAAATGTTACAACTGCTTCAACCTCAGAGATTATTCTGCCTGTGACTAGATTTCTTCCTGGAATGTGTTGCTTTGCTCTGCAAAGAGGGTATTTGGGAGGGGGCATGTGCTTTTTGAATTGCTTGCTATGATGTTTGACACCCTTTTCCCCTTTGGAATGTTCTCGGCTTGCCTGCCTGCCCTTTGCCTCGTCTCCTCTCCTGCAGACGTGTGGAGCAGGTGCCCCCTTTACAGACCTGCAGGAGCTGTGTCAGTCGCAGCACCTTCAGACACGCATGAGGAGTACATCTGTGGGCCTGCGTGTCTGACACGAGCATTGAGCAACAAAGCAACATTAAAAAAACAAAAACATGTTATGGTTGCGTATGACCACGCAGTGCTCCGTTACTCTCTCAGTGGAATGTTAACCGTTCCACGCTACCCGTGTGTTTTTGGATTTTCATTATGGACCCCCTGGTATGAACACACAACATGTACAGGAGAGGCATTAAACATGCAGCAATTGCTGCGGGCTCCAGTTCTCATTTCATGCCGTGTTAATGCCCTCCAATGTTGTAGTTGAGATTGAATGCCCCGTCGAGCATGAGAACGGTTCGAGGTCACAAACCCGATTGTATGAAACGTGTCTCTTGATATTGATGTGCATGTGCCCCAAGACTGGCAGGGGCCCAAGCCTTGAGCAGTTCAAAACATCATAGACGCAAACAGCCTGTCGGATTTAAATGGGATCACCGACTTTTCCCTTGTTTGAAACCCGCTTTGTGCACTGTCCCAGTCGCCCAGTGTCTAGCCGTAGCTCACAGTCACGCTAGCCTTGTGTAAGACGCAAGAGCAATCTGGCCTGTACTCCGGAGGTCGCCTCGCCTAACCCCTGCCCCCCGGTGTCTTTCCAGTAGACCCCCCCGAGGTTCTGAGTGGCAGCGTGATGGACCTCCAGTGCGTTTCCATGGAAGCCCAGCCCAGCCCACTCCCCAAGCTCGTGCCAGTGGGCCCCACCGCCGTCTCCACAGTAAGCCTGGTCCAGCCCTCATGTTAGTCGGAGCCGCCCACTGGTACGGTAGTGCAAACCCACCCTGTAGTCTCACCGCTGAGCAGACACGTTTCCCTCACCAAGCGGACCTGAATGTTAGCAAAGGAAGCCAGCGACAGAGGAGACGGGAAGACTGGACCTTGTACTGTGCACAGAAAAGAAAGAGACTGTTGCTTTTTAAGAGCATTATTATACGTGGGTGGTTTTTAAACGTGCTGTATCTATTAGTTTTGATTTTTTTAAAAAAAAGTGTTATTATGTTATGTTTACATTGAAAGTACGTTTTGTTTCATGGTAAAAAAAAATCCAAACATGTATAGGTATATATACTAGAGATGGGGCCGATGAGTGTGGCCAATCCATTTGGTATTGAACTGATTGGAAAGGGAAAACAATGTAGATATATAGGATATATAGGATGCACAGGTGAATCACGAGGAGCACACTTAGCACCTAAACAGCATATATTTCTTAGTGTCCACGGAGTTCATTTGAGATAGTCATCACCAAAAAGCTCCCAGTGATCAAATCCAGCGTGCGTCTCACTACTGTCTCCTCAAGTGCTTTATCACTAGTGATGTGGGTGCAGGCCACCACCTGAGATCAACACCCCCTGCCCTGCTCTGGCGATCGTTTCCGTGACGCCGCGTCGTGAGGGGGGTGGCTTCGGCAGGGGCCCTGTGCTGCTCGCGGGATGTCTGCGCTGGCCTGTTAATGAGCCGCCTGCCCCCCTCCGTGCTGCCGCAGGGCCTGGCCTGGGGAGGTGGGTGGAGGGAGCAGTGGTCCGGTGTCGCGTCTTGGGAGGGGGCGATGCTTCGAGCTAGCCTTCTGTCCAGAAGGGTGGCTTGTTGTCACCCGACCAGGGTTGTAGGAGTAAAAGCCCAGCCTTAACCACGCATGTGATTGGGCGCAGCTGATAGTCGAGGGTTTCTCTGCTGCGCAAACCGTATGTCTGTATATTCTAGCGTTGGGACTCGAAAGACGAGGACTTCTGCTCACTCGCTGCCTGCGTGTTGGTCTCGCACTCTCTCGCATTCGCTCGAACGCGTATCGCTAACGCACGGGTCCAGCTTGGTGTCTCATCTCTGGTTTATTATAGAACAAGGGTTCCCCTCACCTACCTATTAGAAGAAAAAAAAAAACTACAGAAAAGGCAAATGGCTTTGAAATGAAAAGGCATCATGCCTTTCGATTCTCTCATGGATCAAAACACTTCTGCAGACTAGCAGACCAGCTCCCTTCTGGTGCTGGACATGGAGAGAATCCCAAACTATGAAAAAGGTCCCGTTTGAGAAGAACGGTCCCACGAGTGATATTACGATTTTGTCGGCTTTTTCTTTGCCCTTCTTCCTTCAGCACCAGTCACCGTTTAAACCCGTGGACACGAAACAATGTGGGTAACAGCACTGTACACGTTCTTTGAGTGTGCCAACACTCAAACACGTGCCGTTTGAGCAGAAGCCCTGATGTCGCGAGCCCATGCTTTTCAGCAGCCTGTTTTAGTGCCTGAGAAAGGAGTGACTTAAAGATAATACGCAAAAACTGTTTCTTGTTGGTTATGGTAAAGGGTGGGAGGATCTGACACTCGCTGTCCCTTTGGACACGTTCTCTACAGAAAGGAAGTTTTATTCGTATCTTTTCGCTGTTTTTCCCTGCGGTGCTTTTTCAGCATTTTTGGTAAATATGGGGGGAGGAGGGGGGGTTGTTGAGTTGTTAATCTTTTTAAGATGTCCAAAAGAATAAGAGAAAGAAATGTATAAATCTTCGGTAAAGCAGAAATTGCTGTGAAAACGCACCTCGTGTTTCTGTCATTTTGGCTCAAGCTACTATATTGTATGATGAAACTTGATTTTGCCTTGGAGCTCTGAACAGTGACAGTTTTTTTTTAATCTCATTCTCTAACCTTAAATTGAAACTTAAATGAGGTGCGTGCAGAAAGTCTGCCTGACGTTGTTTTTGCAGTACAATCAGAGGGAAGGTGAAGATTTGTGTGTGTGTGCTGTACTGCTTGAGTGCTTTGGAGTGTTGATAATGCTGTAGAGGTGAGCTGTGTGACTGTGCAGCTCATCTCTAGGAAAACAGGGCTTAACTTATTTGGGATGGGTTTGCTTTTATCCCCCTCAATGCCCGTCTTACCCTTTCTCCCTCAGGGATGTCCTGTGGGTTGGTAATGTTAATGGGAATAGGGGTGTTCAGGGTAGATCATCCATCTCTTTACTGTTAATCTTTAGACAGCTTGGGACTGGACATCTGCGGCCAAATGAGAATCAGGGCAGAAAAAGAGCTCTGAAGTACAAAAAATGAGGTGTCCTCACATCAAGAGCAAAAAAATTAATTTAAAAGACGTTACCTGAACTATCATCTTAAGGTCGCACTATTTTAATTGGTTGTGCAATCACTTGCTACACTTTCTTGTTCCTTTTGTTTTCTTTGGCTTTTTAATTATTAATTGTCTTCAATGTTATGAAGTCATCCAGACTTTAAATTGGATCTTAATCTTTCGTGCGTTCTTTTGCTTTCAAAAGTCGCCCAATTGAGACGGCGACTCTAAATGGCCACCGCAGGCTGGCGCTGTGCAGGTCCGGCGAAGCCGGACTGGGTGGGAGTGTCGGGTGGGGGGGCTCAGCTGAGCAGAGTCGCAAGGCCACAGAGCCAGGAATCTGTAAGCAGAGTCAGCCTGGGCTGAAACTCCCCACGTGTGTCACTGCTGTAGTCTGCTGTCCACTTTAATACCTCTGTACAAGACTTTCGCCCCTAGAACTTATTGCTTGAGTGTTTTTTTCAGGAGGCTCTAAACTGAAAGCCCAAAATAAAATATTTACGTGTCTTTATACATAATAGCCTAATTATCAGGCTCCCTCTGCAGCTGCAGTTATACATAAATCTTCCTGAGTTTTTTTTTATTTTTTTGTATAGCAGTTAGTACAAGGTGTGTATAACAAGCCTTTCCCTGCTTTCTGAGGGGTATGACAGACGTTTTTTTTATCCTTGTGAACATTGTAACGTGGGCTGCATCCAAGTGAGGGAACTGCTTTAGTTTAGTAGCTCTCCCCTCTTATATGTTTGCAGCAAAGGTTGTGACACAGACAAACTGATCGGAAGAGCTTTTTGCAAGGCCCGTTAATACATGAGTACAGCAGACTCTTGGGCAGCCTCCACATTTTTCAGACCCCTGAGAGCCCTGGAGAGGGTGGTCTAAGATGGGATGTCCTGTCGACGCCTGACAGCCAGGCCTCTGCTCGGTCCCTCCTGACACAAACACAGCCAGCACCAGCTGCAATGCCCGCTCCTGCAAAGATAAAAGACATAAATATATTTAACAACGTATCAAGGAATTAAATATTTACTGAAACACTGTCCGAAGTGGACATTATTATTTTTGTAAATGTTTTTTTTTTTTAAGAAAGAAATCCGATTCTTACATTTCATGCTTTTGAGTTTAATTTATTGTTTTTTTTTTGGACATTGGTATTAGTATTATTATTGTTGTTGTTGTTACGTTTCTTATTAATAGTCATTTTGTTGCTTTGATTGATCTCTTTCTTTCGGCCTTATGCAAACCATATATTCAAGCCATGCGGATCTGCAGGGCGCGTTACAGCCAAGAGGCGATGGTGGTGACGATCCGTTTTTAATTTCCTCAGTGAGTGCATGTCTGTGATGGGAGGGATTACAGTTATTTTTTTAAAAGTACTTGACAATAGATCTGCCATTCTGTTACTGACAGTGTGCCACAAGATTCTAGAAGGGAAGAATGCACATCTGATCAGAATAGTTCTGAAATAAATAATATTGAGTTTTGATGCGGCAGCAAACATCCTTCTGCAAAGACCATTTTGCTCTGTAACGTGAGACTCCCCACGTCTCGTCTGGGGAATGTGGGACCAGCTCAACAGCCAGCAGAGGAAAACAAATCCTGCAAATTGCCAGGCTTAGACGGTGCCCTTTTAATGATCGCATGTCCGTTTTGGGTTGTGATTTTAAGAAAACAAAAATCACTTCCGCTTCAACAGTTGAAACAGTTCTGTATTCTGGAGACAAGTACCCACAAAACTGGCGGTGAAATGCTCAGATCATCTGCTTTTGTAATGTTCAATGAGGAAACACTGGCTCCCAGTGAAGATTGGTACATCACGCAGCAATCCTCTTTCTTTATTTCACAATTTTTCAGTTTATTGATTTTTTTCTTTTTAAGCAAAAAAAAATGTTGGTTTTCTTAAGGTAAACTCTCCGGAGCTCAGATATTGCCCTTTCACTAGTGTGTCGGTCGGGGAGGTTTGCCACTGAGCGTGGAGGGCAGACTCACACACGCAGACACTGTGTCAATTATCCCAATTAAAAAAAATGTTTTACCTTCACCTTCATGTCGATGTTCATGTCGGTTTGGTTTTTTTAAAGATTTCGTTTTTTCGTTCTGGAAATGCTATTCCATCAGACTTGGTAGGTGGAATCTCACTGCAAACCATGCCTTTCTAATCCTGCAGTTTTGCTGGGAATAAAATTACTTGATTTTAACCATGTGCCTCTCTGGGGGCCTTAGATGTTCAAGTACAAGTTTTTAAAAATGTACTGTCCTTCATGAGGAGTTATTTAGCTAGAGTAATCCAAGTGTAAATACAATTATAGCACACTTATAACTGTTCTAATCTTTTGTCACCAGGTTCTGAATTCTACTTTCTGTAATTCTTCTTCTTTTTGTTTTGTAGCCTTTTTCATTATTTTCTAAATTGGAGTTAAGTAGTGACTAATATTTTGGAAGGAGTGTAAGTGATATTTTAGGGGTTTCAAACAATATGTATTTCTAAACAATTATAGACGTTTTATTTTCTGAACATCATAATATCTGAAAGCATGATAATGAAATATTAACTAAGTTCATACGTAGTTTGTGTAGTTTGCAGTTTAAGAACAAAAAAAAACAAAATTAAAAAAATAAATTTGTATGTTAACTCTTTACAATGATAGATTCATTGTTAAGT